CTTTCCCTTTACCCGTCTGACCTTTTAGATCCTACCTATGTTGGCAACCCATGCTCCTGTAATGCAGATGAGGAATGTAAGCTAATAAATGGAAGCTGGGGTTGTTACTGCAGAAAGGAATCCAACGACACAGGTATGTAAACTGAACAGACTACCAAAAAGCAGAAAACCATCTTATTACCTACATAAAGATAGAGGAAAAATGATTTTTTTTCTTTACATGTATGTGTACAGGCTTCAAAACTTGCCAGGATCACCTAGATGCATCTGGGTGCACAGGGTTAATTCTTGGAACCAGTGAAGTCAATGGTCAAATTCTCATCGACTTCAATGAGGCAAGGACTTTACTCATGGAGTGTGTACAGGGACAGGCTACAATAAGCCTCTTGCTCAGACCTGCATAACTTGCAAAGTGTCAGGCAGGATTCCAGGACCAGGACTTGGGGGCTGCAAAATCTGCTGTTTTTCTGGGGGCTCCTTCATTACAAAAGGCGAGGAGAATACAGAGCTATGACTCTATCATTTCCCAGCAAGCAGCCTCATGACTGAAGTCAACCTGTTAAAGCTGTGGACTAACTGTCCTGACTAAATATCTCATCCTTGGCATTCCACTATGCTGTACTTCTACAGTCCTACAAGTATTTCACTTTGAATTTAGGGATATATTTAAAAACATGCAGGGTGTGTCTTCATGAGAGATTTGCTGTGCAGTAGACTAAATAACTGCCCAGTAAATGTCATGCATCTACATATGCACCCCTATTAGGTTGGAGTAGACTAATACAAGTAGATACAAGTACCATCCTGATGCAGTTTTTTACTCTGTAGCAGCGCGTGTGTAGATGCTGCCCCAGCTAGCTGGGGCATGAGGTGCTTCAGTGTGGGGGATGCCTGCTGGCTAGCCCCCTGCTGAAGTGCCCTTGTGCCCCAGCCAGCCCCTCTGCAGCATGTTGAGCTGGGGGGAGCAGCCCTGGGCTGGCAGGCTGATCCCCCAGGCCCCCTGCCAACTGGAGTTGTTCCCACCCGACTCAATCTGCTGTACTCCCGGGTGCACATGTAAACACGTGCCCAGGAGCAATAAACTCCAGTGTGGAAAGCACCAGGCTTTATTGCATCACATTAATATGCATGTGTAGACACACCCACAGATACTCAGCTTACTTCCCATTCTACTGCACTCAGGCTTTGGCAAACATTTCAGTTTGTTATTAAAAAAACAACACTAAAGTTATCAATAAGCTGGAAATGACAGAGCAAACCCTACAGAGTATAAGGGTGAGGGACCAACACAGATCCAATTCACTCCCTGGATTTTAATCGTGGATTACAAGGTAACCACTGATATGCAAAGCAAGAGTTTTCCTTGATAATACCAAGCAACATCTAATCCTTTTAATGTGTTTTAAGATATCAGAAGTTTGCAACCTGAGCTAGATTGTGGTACAAGTCAAATCAAGGTGTCATTTAGTAAGTGCCAACTGGAAAACGCTGGATTCCAAAATATAATCATCTACTTGAAAGACGATAAGTGTGCTGGCTTTGAGGAGCATAACAATAGAAGTTTGGTGTCAGTGGTGACTCCAACGCAGGCTGGAAAGTGTGGAACGCTGCTAACGGTAGGCCTCTTTTAGATGTCTCTTCTCCACAATGTACAGTATGCCTCTTATAAAGAAGACAGAAACACACCACAGCAGGGTTTGTCAACTGGGGGTATGCATACCCCTGGGGGTACTTTGAAAGGTCCCAGGGAGTGTGTGGGGGTGGGCAGGGATGGAGCACCACCACCCTGTGCTGCTTCCTCACAGGAGCAGGGCTGTGGTAGGGCGAGAGCAGAACCACACAGACGCTGTGCTACCACTGCTCTGCTACTCACCATGACCTTGCTTGGTGTCCAGCTGCTCACCACCCCACCCCACCCCAGCTTGGTGTCTGGCTGCTTGCCACCCCCAACTCTGGGGTACACTTACTAAAAAGGGGGCTGCCAGGGGTACACTTATTTAAAAAGGTTGAAAACCCCTGCATGACAGTATTTGAGTCAACAAGTGAATGCACCAGTCAGGGTCTAAAAAATGAAGAAAAGTTGGTACATTCTCTCTCATCCTTGAAACCTCAGATAATTTGATGCTCATTCCCTAAGCCTAGTAGTCAGGGCTCCATCCTGGGAGGTAGTGACTTGGATTTCTGCTTCTTCTTATTTATTCTTCTTCTTATTAACTTGCTAAGTGACCTCTGGCAATTCACTTCACTTCTTTCTGCCTCTGCTTCTCTTCCTCTCCTTTGTTTTTCTCATTTAGATTTCAGGTAGTTTGAGGTACCAGTCTCAATGTATGTTTGTGCAATGCTTAGCACAAAGGAGCCCTGATCTATTTAAGAGCCTTGAAGCACAACTGTGACATGATTAATTAAGATTAATAATAGAAAACCCATCATTAAAGATTTTGAGAGATAAGGCAAGAAACAGAAGAATAAGGGGTTAAGATAATTAATTGCAAGACCTTACTGGGCATGTCTACATATGCATTTACGCCAACTTAAATTTACTGCGCAGTAAAAGGCTGGTGTCTGGATGTTCAGGTAATAAGGTGCATTAACATTGTGTGCGGACTGACTTGGAACTAAACTTAGTCCCAAGTCAGTCCACACACACAGTGTTACTGCACAGTAAGGTGTCTACACTTGCATTACTGTGCTGTAATTAATTGTGCATAAATTTGATATCTGCATGATGCAGGTATCAAATTTACACCTAAGTTGGAGTAAGTCACCACATTTACTGCGCGGTATAGGTAAGCACTAGGGGCAGGCATGAGAAACGGGCCGTATTCGATTCGGATTCAGCCCGTGATTCAATTTGTTGATTTAGATCACTGTCCCCAATTCGATTCGGCCAAATCCAAATCTGAAGATTCGATGCTGATTCAGAGAATCAGCGATTTGGCCATAGACACAGCTTTAAATGTTTTTTCTATGTACCTTGAGGCTCCAGGTGTGACTTACGAATGTTGCAATGCTGTGGTGGATGGAGCATCCAACAGGAGGGCGAGGGGGCCCCCCATGTGCTCGGCAGTGAACCCAGAAGTGGACTGGAAGTACTTCCAGATCAGTTCCGGGTCTGCAAGGGAGCGTGCTGGGGCTTCCCCCGGTGTCCCCCTCTGGCTTGGCGATCAGCCACAGGGGGACCCCAGGTGCCCCCCAGATCTGGGAGGCACCAGTCACTGAGCCGGGGGGGGATGTGGGGGCTCCTGTGGCATGCTCCCCGGTGGACCCAGAAGTGGACCGGAAGTGCTTCTAGTCCACTTCCAGGTCTGCTGCTGAGCATGCTGGGGACCCCCCCGTGCTCCTGTTGGACGCTCCATCTACCCCACCATCACAGCACTCACAAACCGCCTGGTACCTTGAGGTATGTAGGAAAAACATTTAAAGCTGTGTCTAAGTCCAAATCTCCAAATCTTTCCAAATCTCTCCGAATCGATTCGGAGGGTTCCGATTCAAGTCGGAGAGGTTAAAGGGTCTCCTGATTCGATTCAGATTCAGAGCTTTGGCCATCAAATCAGGCGGAATCTCCACTGAATCGAATCAGGGACCGAAGCTTTGCACAGCCCTAGTATGCACATGTAGACATGTGCCTGAACTGCTCAGTAATTTTAGTTACTGCACAGTAAATGTGCACGTGTAGATGTGCCCACCGAGAAGAATTTGTTTGCCTGTTCCTCTTCTCCCTATACTTGTAACAAGATGAAAGTTTGGAGAATGGTGGAGTCAGATGCTATGGCATATCAATCTACAAACTGCAGAAGCTATAATGGCTTAATTTCTTCCCATAGAAAAATGCAACACATGCCACCTACAGCAACACTCTTTATCTGGCAGATGGGATTATTGTTAGAGACAATGAAATAAATATTAATTTTTACTGCTCCTACCCACTGGATATGAAACTTAGTCTTGAAACAGCCATTGAGCCTATTATAAGGTATGGGATTGTATGTTAATGAGGAGATACTCATCTATACAAATGATATTCCCATTTATGTTTGAGCTACCATGGTGGATGTTGTGTCAAGGAGAGGCACTGAAGCCATGCCCATACTCTGTAACCTGTGCAATGTTCTGGTAGTACAAGGACAGTAAAAAGATGCTTCAACGTACTGTTTAAGTATTTCTGGCTTGTGGGGTCAGGGGCGGGGGTGGGGGGATAATCACCTGTTGCTGTAAGACTGGCCAACCTAGTACAACATCAGCTGTTCCACTCCACATGGATATAGTGATATATCACCACTGGGACTCAGTGTTGCTGGAATAAGCTATGCCCCTTGAGCTAGTCCTGGGCCAGGAGAATAGCCCAAATGGAGCCATTCCAGCTGAACCCTGTGGCTGCTCTAACTTGTGCCAAGGGTCAAAACAGTCACCAGTAGCTCCTGGATTAGTGGATCTCAGTTTTGCAATGGAGTGAGTAGCAAGGATACAGTGTGCATAGTGAAAATCCAAAACTTAGTGCTAATGAAGTAAATTTAAACTTGTCTCTTACAGTAGTAATATTTTTGAACAGCAACAAATGATTTTTCCTTGCTGGGGTAGCTGGCTGCTGCCTGGCACTGTCACTAATTACCTGATATATCCCTTATGGTCATATTATATTTTCTCTCCCCACAAAGTTGTTTTTTGGTTTAAAAAAAAATTCTTTTGTTGTTTTAGTTCCATCAATATCAGCACTGGCGGCACGGGAATGTTCACGGTGCAAATGGCTCTGTACAGGGATCAAAATTACACTTCGCCTTTTGAGGGATCAAAAGTTGTGTTATCAACAGATGACATGCTATATGTAGGCGTAATGTTTGATGATGGAGATACATCCCAGTTTGTCTTGCTGATGGAGAGTTGTTATGCTACCCCTACAAAAAACGCTACTGATCTGACCAAGTATTTCATCATTCAAGACGGGTAAGGCTGATATGCAAAGAATCTTGCCTCTTTCTATCAGCATGTCAACTGACTGTGTGTAATGGACTGGACTTCATGGGGCAGGAGGCCCTTTCCAGTCCTCTTTTCCTGAGAGAGAAGAAAGTCCTTAAATCTGTGGCCTGACTAGGACAAATTTTGCCTGAGGCATTTCTCTGACGATTATTATTGTATCACTGGGGGGACAAGGAAACAACTGCTTTTGTGGAAAGAATTTCAAAATCACAGATTGTCCCCACAAAATGAATAACAGAATTTCTACTCAGGAGAAAGTTCTGATTTCAAAAGCATCTACAGCAGTTAGAAGATGAAGTCTCATGGAAAGGCAATTTTAAAATGCTGTTACTGCCCTTTCCTCTACTACTCATATGCACCAAGCACTCCTGACCGTTTACCAGCTTCCTCCTGGTTGCTGGGCCAGCTTTGCTATAGGAACTACTCAGACCTTCATATAGTCCTGTCATTGGCTTGGCTGAGGAGGAGCCACAGCCCAGCAAACCTGTTACGTTATGGCAGGTGGGACAGATCACAGATGAGATGAAACAGGACCTGCTCAGCCCAAAGCATTTTGATGTAGTTCTCTTTCCCAACAGTCAATCTCCTCCTTTTTGTGTAACATTCTCCAGTGGCAGTACATTATACTTATCAAATTACCTAGTTAGTAGGTGACTGGCTTTGGGAGATGGTAACTTCCCTAAGAAAGGAAATCAGTTCCTAAATGTTTACCTTCACACAATTTAGGTTTCCTGCTTACTTTAAATTAACCTGCTTTTTTTTTTTTAACCTGCCAACACTTGGTAAATTTAATATATAACTCTCTTTATGAGCTATTTATACTGTAGCATCTGAAATGCATAACAAACACTGAATGCTAAATCATCTGAAATTCAAGTTATCATTATAGCATGGTTATAACTGCTTTGTTTTTTCAGGTGTCCAAACAGACAGGACTCTACTATAGCAGTAGCAGAAAATGGTGTCTCAACTCAAGGACAGTTTTCCCTTCAGATGTTTAAGTTTGTTGGGAACCATAACCTTGTTTACCTACACTGCCAAATACATCTCTGCGATGTCAGCACTGGAGCATGCAAACCCGTAAGTGCATTTATGACAATCAGAAATTGTAGTTCATTGAGGCAAGGACATTTTTCCATTATTAATAAATGCTGCATTGTAAACACCACTGAAGAGGCTCTAATTAGATTTGCTCTTTGCAGTCCTGCTCTAGAAGAAGTCATATTGGGCAGCAACAAAACCAGGGCTTCGCTTTGGAAGTGGGACCCATTGCCCGCCAAGGTAAGAGATATTGGCAACATGACAACTCTGCAGTTTTAACCAGCTCAAAGCTCCATATTCCTTTGGCTTAGTGTAAGCACAGGAAGGTGCACCAGTTTAAGCCGACAAGTATGATTTTAAGTAAATTTAGCTGCTGATGCAATTTGGTGCATGGATATTTCTAAAATCAATTCAAGTTGGGCTTACAGAAGCCCAGTTTTCCCCATTAAATTCATCAGAGCAGACTAAATCAATATTAGGTTATAAAAGAATATTTAAAAAGATATCTCCATGGAAGTGTATGGATAGACGAGCATAGAGCAAGTTACCAAGCAAGTATATTTGAATACAGACGGATTGCTCCACTGTTCCACCCAGTTCTGAATTGGGTATTAGGATCAGGGGCAGTGCATAGGGGGTGTACGTGCACCCTCTGAGCATGGCGGTGCACCCCCTACAAAAAGGTGCTGCTGACACTATCGGTGGCACCTGCAGGCAGTCGCTGCTTGCCACCTGGTGTTGGCAGTGTCTGCAGGTGGTCTGCAATCCCTGCTGGCCACTGCCACTACTGGCAGCGGTTGCGGGTGGTCGCCAACGCTTGGTTGGTGCTCGCCAGCACCATCTGCTGCCAACAGCACCAGTGGCATCTGCAGGAGCTCCCCCGCTTACCACCGCCAGGCTCCCATTGCTGCTGCTGGCACACTCCCGCCACCGCTGTGCCCTCCCAGCTGCCAAGGGCACAAGTCATTCACGATGAGGATGATGCAGCTAGTCAGATGCAGTGGTAGAAACAAATGAATATTCACAGATAGGAATGTAACATCACATAGCTACTCAGAAGAGTTAATATTAAGTGGACTGGGGATTTTTACATGTCAAGAAGAGTGCCATGGATTGCTTCTTCTGGAATATTGACTAATTATCTACCAATTGGTAATTTTTTCTTCCACTCCTGCAGGTTTTGAGTTTCTCGCAGACAGCAGTTTCTCTCTCAGCTTTGGTAAGTACCTTTCTGTACCTCACAACTGGAGAAGAAAATCTGGTGGTCCAGAACTGACCCAAACATCCAGTAAAAACTTAATGCACGCAGAAAACAGAAGGAATTCTAAAAGCAGAAATGAAGCAATTCTGCCATTGTTTAGATAGCTTCTAGGTTGGCCTCTCTGCCGTGAAATTACTCCTGATTTACACCATCAAAACCAAGTAAAATCAGAAACAGCCACATCATTTAACAGCATGTTCACCATTAAAAATGCAATCATTAATCCATGAAACATTTATTGGAAAGTCAGAAATAATTGTTAGGGAGAATAGGCATGATGTGGGGATTATCTGAGATTATTCTATTAAATCTGGATACATGTTTGTTTTTCAACGGGACATACAAACTTTTAGGAGTCTTCTGATTATAAACTGTTTCCTTTTCCCAGGTTTACATGCTGCTTGGTCAGTGGTGGTACCTGGCATTATGGCTCTAGCTCTCCATGTATTTCCATAATTAAGAGGACTATCAACTTGGTGAAGAGGTTGTATGTGTAAGAGGAATGAAGTAACATTAAGAATTCATAACAGTGCACTTTGCCTATCATTAGAAGGAGGGGGTGGGGAATATGGCAGAGATAATTATATGGTATGTGGTTTCTTCCTTTAAAAAAAAAAAAAAAAAAAAAAGCATGGATTTGTATTTTTCTTACAAGAGAAGCCATTCATTTTTGTAGTTGCAAATCTTTTGGTTTAACAAAATATACCATTTTGTAAAGCAAGCCCCTCTTAGATATACTCTATACACTTTCTCCCAAAGGATCTGAAGTGTATTCATTCCACTCCATCTATGTGCAGTCATCTCTGGGGTGGAAGACAGGAATTAACAGCTCACACCACAGTCTGTGTGCAATCCAGGGAGAAAAGTCTTGGTCAAGGCTAGAGGATGTATATGGACTGTGAGGCTTACCTCCAGCTCAAAATCTGCTCTTAGTTACAACAGTACAAATTCCAGAAGTCAGTACACTGCACTGGCGTAAGTGGAAGCTGAATTTGACCAATAATTTTTATTTTCATCAGCAAAGTGATTACATTGAATTAACTAACTTAATTGAATTATTTTTCAGTAACAAAAACAAAACTGAAACAGATGTCATTACTGTTAACTGAATTGGACCAAGTAAGCCTGCGAGAACTACTATTGTCCACCTTACTTAGACCCAAGAGAGACCATTCATTTTTTAGTTTGATTTAGATTAATCCTAAATCTGATTTTTTTCTGGATAATAAGTTATCAAGTGTAGTATATGTTTAATGATTTATAGGCTGGAATATGGCCTAACTTCCACAGTTCTTCCATGGGATTAGATCTTTTCTCTCTTAATCCTTTGATAATTCCAGTCTATATTCTTAAAATCTAACTTCTGCTTGCTTTATCCACTACTTCCTAGGAAGGTGAGAGGAATTTGGTTCCTAAGTCTTAACTACTTTATGTGACAATATTAAAGAAAGAAGAACCACATCCTGCTTTCTATTGCAGCTGGGCAAACCAGTCAAGTCATTGGTATGGTGCAGTGCATCAGAATGGCATCTGGCCCCTAGAGTGTACTGTTTTAGAAACTGATAATGTATGAATACCATGATTGGTATAATCATTGGTAGAAGCACAATAAATGTTCATAATCATTTTAAACTTGGCTTTATGGGAAATACAATACAACGTAAATAAATCCTTCCTCTGAATTTCTGATTATGTTCATGTGTCAGATGTTACCAGCCCTGTGCACAAACAATTAGTAACGTTCATGTGCATCTTCACTGATTCAGAGAACATCCTCCATACTTACATCCAATAGACTCGGGAGCTCATATGACTAAGTGAGCCTCATCTTTTTCACTGGGTTCATAGGAGACATCTCTTGACTAAGGTAAGGCTAAAGGTCTAAGGACACGCTGGACATTTTTGTCACAGGGAAACATTTTGAGAATGATTTTATTTATAACATTGCATGGCTAGTTGCACAATATAGGTCACTACATGTTAACTAATGTCTCCCTCCAGAAACCTCAAAGCTGACCAGCTAGAGCCCCCACTGGCTAGATCACAGCCTCTCTTCAGGAGAGGTTCACAGTCATGCTGGGCTGTATGACAGATTTGTATATCACATGTAATCCTTCTTCACATTACTAGGTCCATCAAAGTCAATAGGACTGTCCACTAGAATAAGTGACACAAGCACTGTGCAGACTAAGATTAAGGGAAATACAGCAAGTCAACTTTGATTTGTGACATAAAATTATAATTTCATTGAAATAAAGTGTCTTACCCCTCATTGTAACTATATTTTATGTTATTTCTCTTAGCAAACACTGAATGGAACAGGCCATCACAGGCACTATATTAATATATAATCTTACCAGGTTGCCAGTACCTTCCAGAAGCAGCATACTAGGGGTGGGCTTGCAGAGCACCGGAATTGGGCATCAGTCTGGGCATCACTGTCAACTGATGGCAGATTGGTGGCCATGTTGTGCCCATCCCCCAGCTACAACAGCCTGAGTATGCACTGCCATAGCATCAGCTGCACCAGTAGCAGCCAAAAGGGCCACGGTGCATCAGACTCTGCCCTTCCCCAGTCCCCACTCTCCAGCAGTCAGTATATCACCCTAGTTTCACACCCCTCCCCTGGGCTGCCTAGGGCATTGAATGAGTTTGCAATGCCTCCGCTGTGCAGGACCTAGCAAGAACATGGGACTGCTCATGTCATTAGACTTAAGCACATGCACTGATGCTTTGTTAGATCAGGCCCTCAGTTGCCTGTGCATGGTTATAATTTGCAGCAGGACCTGGTCCTTATAGACCAGCCTGATTGCCTCCCCTCTTAATATACATCAGGCCTAGTTAACCTGCCCTAAGCAACTGCAGCATAAGCATAATCAGTAGTCAGCTATTTCCCCTCCCCACTCCCTTCCTGAAAAAATGATTGCAGCTTTTCTTCCAAGCTCTCCTGGGCAAGTAAACTCCATCAACAACTACATCCAGTAAATAATAAATATTAATCAAGTATTTAAGATGGAACCTTAATGGAAAGCATTTTCACAAGCACAGCTGGCAAGAGTCCCCTTGAATAAATTCTGATTGCTTGCCAAGTACAACACAGGTAGAATCGTAATTAGTCAGCGAAGACAAGAACTCATATGTGCAAACATCACAGCTGAAGCTTATGCCTTTATTAAGTGGCTGCTTGGAAAACTGCTACAATTTGGGAATTCTACCTAATTTCCCTGCAATGCCATATTCTGAACAGGTGTTGGTAATCTCTTAAACCTCCCCCACCCACCACCCCCATACACACATACCTAACAGACATGACTCCAATACTGATTGAGGGAATTAATGTCTCTATGCAACTATTCTTCCCCATGGTCATCTTGTATGGGTCTCCAGCAAGCAATTCCTTAATTTTGTAATATAGGAAACATTAGTTCCTTTATTCTGGCTTCCACAAACAGATTTTGAGGATTCATGTTCCTTAATTGCTTCTTTAGTTTGAGATGCAAGGATTTCCGCTACTTAAAACTGCAGGTTTCTTTAAAGCCCCTACAATTCAGATTATCAGCATTTTATGCAAGCTCTTTTTTAATTCAAAACCTTTTCTGAACACACATTTGTCAGCAAAATAAGGAGAGTAGAGCTGCAACTGACACCTGGCTTCATTTACTACTAGGAAATAGGCCAACCTGCCAAACATTTTCTTGCTGCATACCCACATATTCTAGTGCTGATTTTCCCCACATACATGTTTCCCTTGCTGTTTTGCGCAGGTAGATGTATGGGAAGAAATCCCTGCTCTCTTGAGGCCAATGGGAGTTTTGCCATTGATTGCAATGGACCCAGAAATCACCCACAAACTTCCCTTTTCAGTGGTGGTTATCCCTTAACCAGAGTCTGCCTACTACAGCTTTATAGGGCCTGTGAAACCATGGTGGTTACATCTGGGAATGCTCAGTTTTTGTGGCTGGCACTTACAATCTGTCACAAAATGTAGCATTTAACCATCGTTCCACTCATTGCAAGCAAATATATTACTGGTCCAAACCACTTGCATCCTCCTCCTTAATCTACTACATGCTTTGAAACAAGAGATCTCAAAGTTTGGCATTTTTATTCTTCATGTGATTTACATACTCTTCCCTATATTTCATTGGCTTCACTATCCAGATGGCATTCATGGCACTGCTTATAAATGAATCTGCAGACGAAATGCCTCCAGCTATAAACTCCTACAAACCTTACAGCTCACCTGAAGATTTCAGAGGCTGATGATCAGATTGACATGGAATTATGAGGCACTTGGTATATAACAAGGAAGTCAGTTTGCACTAAAAGAATCACTGGCAAGAACATGTACGTAATTAGAGACAGGTTAATAATATAAATAGTATCTGGACATTTCATAGTTTCATAGTTTCTAGGGTCGGAAGGGACCTGGGCAGATCATCTAGTCTGACCCCCTGCCATGGCAGGAAAGAGTACTGGGGGTCAAACG